ATTACCCAGAGTGTACTTGGAGAAAAAAGAGGTTGCTCGTGACTTTTAAAATGGCTTTCTACATATATATTGATTTCTAATGCAAACATAAATAAAATAACCTAGATTTTGTTTTTAAATGTCATCCGTAATGATGTCATTAAATTTCTAACTGAAACTAGAAAATATAGGGGGTTTATCAGTTTTATTGCCTGGTTTGACTTTGCTATCTTCATTGATGGCATAGCAGACTTTCATTATTGAGAAATTCTGTGGTAGTAGACAACGATCACCTAAAGAAAAGGCCATGAAATTATCTGAAATAATATTAAGGAGTAAAATTGATGTCCAGCACGTTCCAACATCTTTGATAGGAGATGACTTTCTAAATGCCCTCAGTTTCCAAGGGAATCTGCTGAACGGAGCAATGTTTGGTCTCCAAGATAGATGCTCCGATATGTTTACTAGAATTTCTTTAATTAAAAGCTGAGCATTTCAAAATGTCCTGACAAATAGAGGCAGTTCAGTCCCGCTGGAAGTCTATGGAGCAGTTCATAAGATGTCACACTTTCATAACCCCTGACCAAGCCTTGCTTAATCATTTGGCAAAGGTCAATTACCTCAACAAGGAGACAATCACTCATGAGGCTGTAGATCCCTGAAGGATGGGAAGTGTCTGAGAAAATCCTGCCCTGCCAAACCAGTCCTGCATTAATTTATGGAAGAATTGTCTTTGATTTCAACGCTGTTTTTCAACTACTATCAAGCTGTCCCTTCTCCCTTCACTTTCCGTATGACTTCTGGCAGTGGCTTTACTGAGATCTTAAGAATTACCTGTATATGGTGTTATTGTTTTCTTTAACTTCTCAGGTGTAGGTCTACAAGTTCCTTTCTGTTGTTCTTTGTGCATACAGCTGGGAGGTAAACATAAGGTTGGAAAGGATTTAGGGCCATTATGACTGTCTGTGCTCTCAAGGCATTCTGCTTTTTCTCTGAGAGGAAAAATTTCCTCCTTTTGTTGAGGGAGCCCCTAAGGAAGACCATGCAGGACCAGCATGAAAACAGGGTTCTGAAGTTCTGTAGTAGAGATCACTTGCTGACACAAGGCACAGGCAAGTGTTTGCAGCTGTTTCATTTAGCCTGCTGCAGCCTCTGAGGCACATTGGCATGTTGATGCCTGTCTCAATCCCTGATTTTCAGAGAGCAACAGCTCTTTCTGCTTGTCATAGTCCACAGGCACTTTCCTTCGTGTCAGGAAGCTTTTATGTCTTGCTCTTCAGACTTCATACACAAGAGCGACTAAAATACCTGTACTTTTTTGACGCCATAAAATTTTATTATTGCAGAAGGTTTAGCCTTTAAATACTGAACCATGCTAAAGCAGAATGCCAGAATGCCAGAATGCATAGAACCTCACTTTTTAATTACTGCATAAATGTAATAGTGGTGTTTAATGGTCTCAGGAAGCCACTCTGAATTCCTCTCTGCTAGAGGATCCACCCTAAGGATTTGTTACCTATCATAAGAGAGAATTTCCCAACTGAAAATGGCCACCCCCTTGTAAGGAGTCAGCTTGTTACAGCTCTGATGGTTGTCCCCAGCACGTAAGCCCTCCCAGACCTTAGCTCGTACTGGCTCTCACTTGGATTACGTGCACCCTCAGAATGTGACCTACAGAGATGTCCAAATGATAAAGAAGAGTCATGCTTGGACAGCTAGGCTTCTTGGCTTAAGCTTTCTGGCACATCAGTTCGGAGCAGAAACAGCAGTGATGGTCCCAGAAAGGGGAGATGGTAGCATGAGGATGAAGTGACAGTGATGACAGTAGGGCAGGACTATGGGCCAGGTTCAGTAGGAACAAAGCAGCAGATGCTATAAATGAGCAAAAGGGTTAGACCATGGTAACCGACATTGGGCGTATCCTCAAATTGTTTTCATCGCTGCCTGGATTGCAACAGTAAATTCTTTACACATTTGACAAAAAATTCTTCTCCTTTTTCTATTATACAGGAAGATCTGTACAGGAGACTATTTCCTATATTCTGCTAATTTTCTTAATCGCATGAAGACTTTCCTGAGAACTGGAATGAGTCCTGCCTCAGTCAAACCATTTTTCTTTAAAGAAAACATAGTCCTGAATAAAGAAATCAATAACAGCTTCAACATTGTCAACCCGCTGAATGAAATCAGTGCACTGTCAAAGCTAGTGGGAATATTGCTACTGGCGTGGGGGCACGGGGGAGGGACAGGCAGAAGCTGTTTAAAAGATTTGGTTCTCAAATTGCTACCTTTTTATAGATTTCCAGCTGGTATAAATTGGGTTAACATAACTACAGTGAAGTTACACACTTGGTTATGGAAACTGAATCTCTTATCCTTTGATTCTCAGGCTTTACCTATTTATGGGCTTAATTCAGGGTCTGGTTAAAAGTTTTGCCAATGTGACATCTCTCAGAGTACAAAAGTTTGAACTGTTTCTTCTTCAATTGTTTTTCTTCCAAATGGTTTC